TGTAATTATGCATAATTTATTGTTATTACAATAGTAAGTACATGTAACATGTGTAACAAGGACACCTTAAAATAAAGTGTAAACCAAAATAAATGTAATGTAATCTGTTACAGTTACTGAGAAAAAAATGTGTTATTAAATCAGTTATTTAGGAAAATGTTAATGATTACAAAGGGGGTTACATCTGAATTTTCACATACGTACATATTTGATTGATTTCTTTCCCAAATTGCATTGACTGCTCTAAAATATGAGACCAGGGGCGTCGTAGGGGGGGGGGGGGGGGGACGATTCTAAGGGCCCGGCGATGGAGGGGGACCCAAGGGGGAAACGCGATTTCTACCGAGAGGGATCCCCCCGGAACATGATATACGGGGGCCCCGAGTGAATATGCTGTCCAGGGGGCCCATAAACCGTAGCGGCGCCCCTGCTCTTCAAAGTCAGAAATCATGGATGTCAAAAGTCTTTCTGATGGACAAATGAACATCAGAACACTTATCGAGTAGACAATTATAGTTCAACAATACAGTCAAATATATTTCATTTTTAAACTTCTTGATGTGCTTTCAGAACAATCAGTGGAAATTTATAATTGATGCCCATTACATGTACTGCAGTGTTAATACCTTTTGCGAGAAAATATCCATTTAGATGACAGTACATTTTAATCAGGTTGCAGGAATGTGGGCGGGTGTGAAATCATAATTATGTGGCTTGTTGTTTGTCATATTTATAGAATCTGAAATCATGAGTGCTCCTGTGGATATTTCATTTGTCTATCTTTCGGTTCATTTTCTGTGTCCGTTTATCCAGTGTATGGTCGCAGAGTCTATCCCAGCATGCCTCAGGCCAAAGGCATTTTACATACAGCAGAGCTGGAAGAGGCTTTAAAGCCTTTAAATATTATGCCCCTTTTTACAATACGTAATATAAGTCTCTGGTGTCCCCAGAATATGTCTGTGAAGTTTCAGCTCAAAATACCCCACAGATCATTTATTATATCATTTTGAAAATGCCTATTTTGTCTGGAAGCAGAAACACGCTGTTTTTCGGGCCTGTCTCTTTAAATGCAAATGAGCTGCTGCTCCCCGCCCCCTTTTCCAGCTCGGACCTGTTAAAAACATCTGTTATGGTTCTGATTATCATGTTTATCTCACTGAAATCATGCGGTTTAAACCATATGCGTTTAAACTTCTGATATACGGTTTTCTGAGCGCACACATCCGAAGCACACGGACAGAAAGCGGCTGTCACAGGCATGTGAGTACTAAACTAAGTTCTCATTCACACACAAGTTTACTTAAAAACACACATGAGTTACAAAAACAGTCAGTTATGTCTAGACTTGTGCCGGTATTCGGTAATGCGATATATCACGGTAATGAATATGCACGATATTGTTATCGTGGGCACTTCTAAATACCGTGAATAATTATATATTACAAATTATTTAGAATTTTGAATGCTTTTTAAGAATACTTTTCCCATGGACTGGTCCAAATGCACAACACTGCTGTATGCTGTGTGAAAGACACATGCTCTCTGATCTAAATAGTGTTCTGTGCTCTTCTGTGCAGACAAAGGCAGAACAGTATGTTTTGCTTAAACTTTCGTCATGGCATTAGAACTAGTACACCCTTGTCGCTTGCGAAAACAAAATAAAAACCTGGAAAAGTCAGATTTTCATGATATGTCACCTTTAAATCCTTTTCCAGATTCATGTGCCTCAGGCAGCTCTTTTATCCTTGTCATGACTGTACTTCGAAGCTTATGCCCATATACCAGGCCAGTTTATTGAACTGAACTGAAGGTGTGGTTTTCTCTTTAATGAGCAACTGATTTGTACCTGATTCTAATTGCAGGCATTCGACATATAGTGATAAAAGGCTCTTTTGAGATGAGCACATTCTACACAGGATCACTGATCACCACCTGGTGCACATTTGTTAGGCAGGCTTTCCAACTTTGTGTGATGTCAAGGTAACACAAAAATCAAAGGCATGTGGTGGTCTGAAAAAAGGAGGCAATGTTTTCAGTTTGGTGCAATTGTTATCTTTTTTTAATTAAAACGTAAATTCGTGTTCTAGTTTCATCTAATGATGACACAACATTAAAACCACTGACTGGTGAAGTGAATAGCATTGATTATATTGTTACAGTGGCACTTGTCAAGCAGCAAGTGAACACTCAGTTTTTGAGTTTCATGTGTTGGAAGCAGGAAAAATGTGAGAAAATGCGAAAAGATCTGAGTGACCAAATAGTGATGGTTAGACGAGCATTTCCAAATGGCAAGCCTTCTAG